GCGAATTCACTCTGCAATCACATTAGCGATCGAAAAAGCGTCACCATAGAGCGAATTCATCGCTCTACGGTGTGTTCGTTCTGCGAGGCACCACTGTATCTGTTTGTATGTCTGCATGGACACTATTTTGCATTAGTAACTAGAATGATTTTGTAAGCCGCCCCAAGTAGACGCTGTCTAGGTGGGCGGGGTATAAATCAAATGAATAAATGAATAAATGAATGAATGAATAAATAAATGAATAAATAAATAAATAGAAGCCAACATGAATTTGTCAAAAACAAACCCTGCCAGACTAATGCTATCTCTCTCTCTTTTGGTCAAGTAACCTTCCATGGTAGATGGTGGGAATGCTGTAGATTTACAATGGTGCCTCGCTTAACTATTACCTCATTATACGACAAAACCACTTTACGACGAAGTTTTTGCGATCTCTATTGCGATTGCAAAACGATGTTCCTATGGGGAAAATTCGCTTGATGATGATCGGTTCCCTGGTTCGGGAACCGATTTTTTGCTAGGTGATGATTCTAAAACAGCTGATCGGCAGCTCTAAAAATGGCCGCCTGCTGTGCAAAATGGCTCCCCACTGTTTTTAGCACGGATTCCTCGCTTTACAGGCACCGGAAAATAGCCGCCCTATGGAGGATCTTCGCAAAATGAGCAGGTATTTCGCCCATTGGAACACACTGAACAGTTTTCAATGCATTTCAATGGGTTTTTTAAATTCGATTGACAACAATTTCACTTAACAGCAATGAACGGAATGGATTATCATCATCAAACGAGGCACTACTGTAATATATCTTGACTTCACCAAAGCCTTTGACAAAGTGCCCCGTTATATTCTGATTAGCATGCTAACTAGGTGTGGGTTGGATAGAACAATGGTCAGGTGGATATACAGCTGGTTACAGTACCATACTCAGAGTATGACTCTTTGTGAGGAGGTAACAAATGGAATACCACAAGACTCAGTCCTGGGCCTGGTGCTTTTCAACATTTTTATTAATGAGTTGGATGAGGGAGTACAGGGAAAATTTATCAAATTTGCAGATGATATAAAAATGGGTGGAATAGCTAATACCTTGAAAGACAGGAACAAAATTCAAAAAGATCTTGATAGGCTTGAGTGCTGGGCTGAAAACAACAGAATGAAACTAACAGAAAGTACAAAGTTCTACACTGGGGGGATGGGGACACAGTTACAAGATGGGGAAAAGGATCTTGGAATTGTTGTAAATCACAAGCTGAATATGAGCCAACAGCATGATGTGGCTGCAAAAAAGGCAAATGTTATTTTAGGATGCATTAACAGAAGTATACTCTCCAAGTCCTGTGAAGTACTAGTTACCCTATACACTGCAGTGCTTAGGCTTCATCTAGAGTACTGTGTCCAGTTCTGAACACCACACTTTAAGAAGGACAGCAACAAACTGGAGCAAGTTCAGAGGAGGGCAACAAGGACATTCAGGGAAATGGAAACCAAGTTCTGTGAGGAAAGACTGAAGGAACCGGGCATGTTTAGCCTTGAGAAGACTGAGGGGAGATATGATAGCACTCTTCAAATATTTGAAAGACTATCATACAGAAGGGGAGGGGCAAGATTTGTTCTCGATCATCCCAGAATGCAGGACATGTAACAATGGGCTCAAGCTACATAAGTCAGATTTAGGCTGCATATCAGGAAAAACTGCTTTACTGTTAAGAGCAGTACAACAATGGAACCAATTACCTCAGGAGGTGGTGTGTGCTTCAACGCTGGAGGCATTCAAGAGAAAACTGGGCAACCATATGCCAGATGAGCTTTGATTCGGATTCCTGCATTCAGGGAGTGAGACTCGATGGTCTAATAGGCCTGTTCGAACTCAATTATTCTATGATCATTCTATGACGGGAGTCTAAAGGTTCCCCTTGACAATTTTTGTCCAGTCGTGTCCGACTCTAGGGGGCGGTGCTCATCCCCGTTTCCAAGCCATAGAGCCAGCGTTTTTGTCCGAAGACGATCTTCCGTGGTCACATGGCCAGTGCGACTTAGTCACGGAACGCTGTTACCTTCCCACTGAGATGGTCCCTATTTGCATGCTTTCGAACCACTAGGTTAGTGGGAGCTGGGACAAGTGACGGGCGCTCACTCCGTCGCGTGGATTTGATCTTACGACTGCTTGGTCTTCTGACCCTGCAGCACAGGCTTCTGTGGTTTAGCCCGCAGCGCCACCACGTCACAGGTATAATTAGGAATAAGCTAGAAACTAATTTTATAAACGAGTAAATGATGCTTCCCTGGAATATACAAAAATTGATACAACAAACTGGGGTTAATGGGGAAATAAATCTACAACAACCACATGTGTCTTATGTTTGACACTCATTGTGTCACACTGTCATCATACTGCATTTCAGACAGAATAATAGAATAACGGAGTTAGAAGGGCCTCTAAGACCACCAAGCTGATTCTAATAGAGGAATCCAAATCAAAGTATATCTGGCAAATGACCATCTAATTTCTCTTCAATGCCTCCAGTGCTGGAGCTCTCACCATTTGCTGAAGCAATTGGTTCCATTGTTGTACTGCTCTAACAGATAGCTATTGTTACTATGTGGCTGATAATTTTCAGCAAATAATTTTTATTAGTCACTGATGAGGTAATAGAATTGCAATAATCTGGAGTAGAGCAGACATTTTCTATAGGTGTCTTGGATTATAACCCTAATATCCTTGACCACTGCACCACCATGCTGGGGAGGACTGCTACGCAGAAAAATAGTCACAAGACAGAGGGGAAATTCTACCCCATCAATCTCTTCTTCACATCAGAATGGATGGGAAGGAAATAGCAAAACCACTGAAAAGGTGCAGGCATGAATATCACGTGATGATGAATATTATCATTTTTACAAGATGAACTCTATCCAAATTAATTTTTCCAGGTGGGTTCTGGTCAGTTCATGTTAGGGCTTGACACCAAGTCAAGTTCAAGTCCAGATTTGGACAAACAAGATAAAACAGGCAGTAGAGGGCAAGAAGGGTGGCAGGGGGAGCTCATAAAAAGAGGCTTTAAACACCAGCAGTTAAATGACTGCTTTTTGTTGTTGGTAGCCTTTGTTAAGCTATCACCTTTTTAAACAAAGAGACCAATGGAGGCAAATGTATCTCCAATTTCTGAAGGCGTATAAAAACTTACTCCCCACTAACATGTTCCCTACTTGGATAATTCCTAGTCCCATCTATACTACCATTCCAATATAAATGCAAGATGTGTGAGTTTACAGGTCTAATCAGATATTGTTCTTTATTACATACACTCATGGGGATGAGTTTGCAATTCAGAAGAAATGAATGTGAACATAATTTGAAGATCTCATAATGCCTGAATGAAGTTTTGCTGTACCTAGACATTAGACATAATATTTATTAATATTAAGGAAGTCTACATCCTCTTCTTTCACTCATTCCAAAAGGTGCCAATTAAACCTGTGGTGAACAGGTTATTAATGCACACCACAGAATTCAATAAGTGGAACTGACTGTTCCACTGACAGTACCTACAGAAAGCCCTAGACATTCTGAAACTGTACAGAAATCATGGTGTTTTGTATCGGGGGGGAAATCATGATAGTGAATAGGCAAACAAGCAGTAGATACACTTATTTACCATATAGTATTGAGGAAATATTCAGGTGAAGTCTCTTACTTTGTCTTGGTCTTTTGTGTTAAATTAACACATATGTGGACACATTCTTGGATTTTAAAAATAAAAATCTTATAGCAAACTTAGGTTCATTTTATCGTTAACATTCTTTGAAACTTACCATTTCAGTATACCCTGAAAACAGCAGCACGTATATATTTGATTGCCCATTCTAACGTCATGGAACCATTAACACAAAAGCTTAAATACTAAAAATATTTATAAAATTACAAAAAATGCCATACATATTATTAATTTAATGACTATTCTATAATACAATAGAAGAGCATGCTCAAACAAAACACCTCAGCAGTATTTTAAAGCAGCAACCTCCTAGCCAATTTCTGTATGTTCTGTAGTTTTTCTAATCCACTCTCCCTGTGGCTGAGCAAAATCGAATTGCCTCTCACATTTGCAGACAGCTCTGTGAAGGTGATAATAGAGCTGCTCCCTGCTGTCATGAGGCAGGAAATAGGAAAATGGCATATGGGGCTAGGAAGAAATAAAAAAAGAACCAAACAAGAACAAAAGAGATTTCAACAAAGGACAAACTATAACCCAATATGCTTTGCAAGTTAATCTCTTTTCATAATGATTTCACATTATCATTCATCTGCAAACTTACCCTAAAATGTGAATGGCTGCAAGTCTTTGGGGGAAGTTTTTATTCTGAAACATTCAGAATGCATATAAAACACCATATTCAATTTCTATAAAGCAGAAATGTTATTTCTATCCATGGAAAAGAACTGACTCCAGCTTTTCTTGAGAATTTATTGAACTGTTTTATGGTTTTGTTGTAACCTGCTTTGGAATCAGGGCAAGCAAGAAGCGGCAATAAAACTGTTTCTAATGAGCTAATTAAATAAATAATCAATACCTTTTTTATTTCATTTTAATAAAATTCTTGATTTCAACACCACAACCTGCACCTAAAGAACAGCAAGCTTTGGATATGGGCCTTAAAACTTCAATCTACAGAAGTTTGTTCAGAAATAAACTGTACCCCTGAGACTTGATCTGTAATTTCAAATCATTGCTTTAAGTACTGAAAAGGTATTCAAAATAAGAGAATACAGTACGCCCTAGACAGCAATCATACACTAAATCTAAGTCATATTCTATACCTTTCAAGGCCCCTCTCAAAAAGCAAACAATCCCTATACATTTTCACTTAGCAAAATGTTGATGTAATAGTGCAATTTTTAAAGTGGCCTGTAAATGAAACATCAGAAGGTTTGTATAGGATTTTAATATAAGACCAAATCAGGGAGAAATGTTCCATTCAGTCTTTAATACAAACTGACCTTTCCTTTCACGCTCTGAATGGGATCCACAACTACAGCTACAGCTCTTTCTGACAGGGCTTCAAAGCTCTGCTGAGTATTGATATCCACACCAGACAACCAACAGCCAAAGCCAGGATGACTGTGATACCAGCCAACAACCATCTCAGGTCTGTAACAGAGAAGTCATTCAGTACTGCTTCGCCCATAAAAAATGAAAAGCAAGAATAAAATAGGAACATTTCAGCAGGGTAAGAAAACACAAGGTGAGACAAGGTACCATCAAAAACATTTAAATGCACACACGTCAGTGTACAGTCAGAAAATGTGATGAAGGAGCGCTACCATTAAGGGATACATATTAACATTGGTAGGTCAGGCTCTCAGTTTTTCACCCTGTTACCACACCTTCCAATCCAGTTTTTACCCTTTCAGCATGTCAGTAAATACCTGTTCTAATTCACTAGCACCCAAAGTTGGTTTTTCATGGTAGAATGTCCATTTCAAATACGGGCAACAGGAACAAGCGACAGGAAAAGATTAAATATCAATTAAACCAGCTGTGGAACTAGGAACTTGGTCAGAAAGCAATTTGCACTGTTCTGCTCAGCTGCTGAATCTTTTGTTAACATTAATTTTGAAGTTTTTGCTGCAGCACAGGAATTTGAGTAAGCAGATGACAGCTGTTGAGGGAGCCAATGTGAAGTCCCAAATTTTGTTTAAACATTCAGATGCCTCTTTATCAGGAAACTTTTACTGTGATGTACAAAAGCATTATGGCAGGAAAAATAACAGTATTAGCATAGGAACAATCATTTTGTACTATGCGCGTGCAAATGTGAACTAGAAGATTATCTGAAAAGTTCCAACAAAAATGTAGTATGAAAGTACTCTCCTGGGTGCAATCTAGTGTGTCTTCTCACAAGACAAAGCCCAAGGCTAGGCTTGTTTAACATCTTATGTTATTCATGTAAGACTAAACAAACCAATTTTGGTCCAGCCTTAGCAAATGACCCAAAAGGAACCTAGGGCTCAGATGCACTTTAACCTATTATATAAGCACAGAAAAATGTTCCTTACCTTCCAGTCTGTTTTAACATATCCAACATTTTGGCTTGGAACACAGGATCAACTGCTTCTACACTGACCCCCTGCATTCAACGAGAGATAAACCGAAGCATTTGTATATATATATTGTCTAGAATGTACACTTTTCTCATGAATTGTTCAGAATACTAACAACTTGCTTTTGTATTAAAAATTACATGCCACACAAATCTTTTAAGTAATTTTATCTGACACTTTTTTTCTACATGTATCACAAATTCCTATCTCTTTTTCCAAAAATCTGCAACAATCATATGCTGTAAGTTAGCTGTGAGTGACTTGTCCAAGACTATCTAGTGAACTTCATAAACTCTGGTTTTGATCTAGATTATAGTAATAATAGTTTAGCCTTACTGAACTCAATGAAACAAATTAAGTATGAATAAGCTTTAGTCCTCTTGATTTCAGGACTAAAATATGACAAATTTAGTCTGGATCAACTTATATATCTCACAAGTTAGCAAATATAATTTTATTTTTGAAAGAATTTAAATTAGATCATATAAATTTACAAAATGTTAGAAACTTGAAATTTTTTAGCATAATAAGACAACTGAAATATCTTTGCAAATTTGTATTCTGTTTCCTGTTTACTTCTGGGAAAATCTCCTGTCAACACTTAGAAATCAATACACATTTTCTTTGTCCTTCTGAATATTCTTGCCTAGTGTATAGTCATCTCAATTTCAGATTTATGGCTGGCAACAAAATATTTCCTACAGTCAGCTCAGCAAGCATACATCAGCTTGAAGAAATTCAATAAATTTACAAGTAAATCCAATAACATGTACATAATGAGCAAATGTTTTCAAGAACGTAAGGTTCTAGAGCATGTCATGGTGCAGGGAGAGGCAAGCATAAAGTCCTCTATTCTTCTTCTCCAAATGCTGCACTATAAATAGTGGTCTGAGCAGCAGCACCAATCAAGAATTTCTACTTTATTAAACATGCATTAGTATTTATCAAGGGGCTAACACAAACTCTTACTTAGTGTTTTATAAATGTAATGAGATTGGAACATCTCACTGGATTCAAGTAAAAACTCATCATCAAGCTTATTTTGCAGCAATGCCAAAGAAACATTGCTTCTACAAAAACCTTAATGCTATCCAAGTGATGATGTCAAAGAAACAATGCTTCTACAAAAACCTTAATGCTATCCAATGAATCTGTTTAGTGCAGTTTCAGATTTTCTTGATCAGACACCTCAGGGTGATGTAAAGGAACATTCAACAGCCTACTGTGACTCACTAGAGAAGCACTTGAGTGGACAAAATGCTCGGCTAGATATGGACACTTCAGGGCCATGAGTTTCACTGTATCACACTTTCAGGCTGCAGCAACACTAGGCAAAACTAATTCACCTAAGCTGCTTTTTTGCTTTTTAAAACACAGAATACTGACTAAATTAAAGAACCACTTCTAAAGACAACATGAAAGCATGGAACAGCAGTTATGTTCCCAATAAGAGATTTTACAGATTCATATGTATCATTATGTATAAAGTGTAGTATAATGTTGATCCAATTCCCTAAATATTTTCTGTAACTTATGGCATTTAGGTACAAAACTAAGTAGCTATTGTAGCACTGGGAAGTGAGGAATTAGCTGTTGTAGCACTGGGAAGTGAGGAATTAAACACTTAAACTGAGTGTTATGTAGAACACATAACATAGTTTCGTTTCAGACCTGGATATATGATAAGAGATTTTACAGATTCATATGTATCATTATGTATAAAGTGTAGTATAATGTTGATCCAATTCCCTAAATATTTTCTGTAACTTATGGCATTTAGGTACAAAACTAAGTAGTTGTTGTAGCACTGGTAAGTGAGGAATTAAACACTTAAACTGAGTGTTATGTAGAACACATAACATAGTTTCTTTTCAGACCTGGATATATGTATTCCAGCTATCAATATCTTTTTACAGTGGTGCCTCACATGACGATTGCCTCGCGGGATGAAAAACCTGCAAGACTACTGGTTTTTGAGATCGCTATGGTGCCTCACAAGACGGTTTCCATTGCCTCACAAGACAGTTTCTTCTATGACCGTGCTTCACAAGATGTTTTTTTTCGCAAGACAGCGATTCTCGTGGAACGAATTACATTCGTCTTGCGGGGCACCACTGTACAACCATTATACATGTGGGGGAGAAAAAAAATTGATGAACAGTTATCTAGTGTGATACCACACATTCTCTCATTGAAGAATACTCACCGTTCCCGACTGTGGCATCGCAAACACATCAATCACTCTAACAGTATAGTCATCAACAAATTCTCCAAGCATCAGTCCCATAACTTCCATGGGGACACCAGCTCGACCATGCTTCAACATCTGGAAAAAACAGACCCCTACTGAGATACTATTTAAGGGACAGATGTTTGCTTCTCTGCTACTTTTTTCCTATGACATATTCACAAAGGGTCTTATAAGCCACTTTCCCAAGAGCTAGTTGAGTCCTTTTCTGAAGGCAGAGGGAGATGCAGAGCAACTGAAAATACAGTATTTTTTGCTCCATAAGACGCACCTCTCCATAAGACACACCAAATTTTTAGAAGAAAACAGGAAAAAATAATCTGTTTTCTTCGCTCCATAAGACTCACAGACTTTCCACCCCCGTTATGTGGGGGGAAAGGAGCTAGTTGTTTTCTGAATGCAGAGGGAGATGCAGAGCAACTGAAAACAGCTATTGATAGAAAAAGTAGGTTCACAATCTTTCCAAAGCAGCTTACACAGAAACCATGGAGTGATCTGGCCTCTCATTCATAAAAACTCTCCACTTCTGCATTATATCATCAAGCACACCATGATGGTAGATCAAAATTCAAATTTTGAATATAAAAGATAATAGGATAGCAAGAGAGTGGGTTCAGATCCAGAAAAGTGGGAGATATGTAATGTCATTATGAGCAACACAAAGATTATTTGTCTAAAGGCAATAATAAAACATTTCCTCCAACGCTGACTCAAAACTTTAAGTGCTGATGTAGTCTAACTCCCAGAAAAGCAGAACTCAATTATAAGAGAGGTATCAACAAAGCTGAGATAAGGCTTAGAGGTGCTCAAAATATCTATGAAGCAGGAAGGAGGAAGGCTTCTCAACCATCCCCACCCAACAGCATGGAATACTGAGAGCCTGGAGTTAGAACTTGACAAATACTTCAGAGGGGGAATAATATAAAAGGAAAAGGGAGTCTTTGGGAAACTCAAAAAACCCACCTGAGTAGGAAACATTCTAATTCATACTGCAAATTTATTTTTATTGATGAAATCCTGTTGCTTACTGTAGCATGTTGCAACAAAATAAACCCACTACATCAAAGGGACTTGCAGGGGAGTAGACTAAACAAGTTTCTACTGATCCAGTAGGCATACCCCAGATGCAATTTACTATGCTAACCAACATGATTGCAGCCAACAAAGTGGCCTTTTAGGCCAGATGGGCGGGGCTGCAGCCAATATGTTTAGAAGAATGAAACATGTAGTTGCCTATAGAAACTGAAGAAGAAAATAAAGTTTTCGAATGAAACATGTAGTTGCCGATAGAAACTGAAGAAGAAAATAAAGTTTTCTAATGCAGTTGAGACAGTGTGTTTACCAGTACCACTTCTGAAACTCAGAAACGGAGACAAAAAAAAGTGGGGAGGACACCCCTCCAAACTTGTATGAACAATGAGTTAAAATGCTAACTGATCCAACTAGGATGGGGTAGGAGTGGAGTAGGAGTGGAATGAAAGCCTAAACAGAAGCATTCACACCCCAAGTATTTGAGCTCCATCTGTTTATACTAAACATTCCATATTAGTACAGAAAAACAAATTATTATGCAGCTGACATGTAAGAGTGCAGAAATTACTCTGAAATTAAGTGGAGGGAAAAAACCACCACTCCATATGACATTTGTCAGGAGTGTGGACTGTTAGCCTTGCAGATGTATTGGACTGCAGTTCCTCCCAAATCCCAGCAAATGTGGCCAGTGGCAAAGAATTATGGAAGCTGTAGCCAAAGACATCTGGAAGGTTGGAAGTCCATCTATAAATGCCACTTTGCACAATATCATCTACCATAAACCACAAATACTTGCCTTCAAAAGTGCAAGGGAAGAGATGTAAACCTGTTCGGCTGTGTCAACTGCTGGAGCATCCGTAGGAGGTCCCTAGGCAAAGAAGCAACATATCACTATGTCTTTCTGGCATCACATTTTATTTTGTACAAAGAATATGCTTTACTTGAAGAAGAAATAATACACTCTACCTGTTGCAGCTTTTAGAAGAAATACTGCAACAGCAGTCCAGGATCCTGGCACATTAATAAGGCCTTTAGTCTCCCTCTCTTTAGCTTCCCCTGCCTTCCTCAAAAGACTCACCCAGTGGTTAGTGATAGCATTTAGAACACAAGAGACTAATTCTACAAAATGGGAGGTGGGGATAAATCCCTGCATTCATGGGAAACATATGAAACAGACATTTTCAGTTTGGCCATGATTCTATCCTTAACAGACTGCTCTTTTACCCTCAGCTCTGTATTGGCAATATGATGATAATATCAACCTACCTTACAGGATTGCTCTAGGAATTACAGAATAATAATGTGAATGCTCTTAACATCTTATACCACGAAGCAAATGCTAATCATTATTATTATCACAGCATGCACAAGCATCTCTCCGGATCCTAGACCAAGCTGATAATTAAATAATGAGCTACATATATTCTCTCTCTTTTTCAGTTTAAATGAAGACAAGTATGCTTGACTGTCCCATCTCCTATCTAGTCAAAGTTTTTTGAAAAAACAACCCATAAATACTGAGTTCAGTCTACCATTTGCCCCCACCCACGGATATATATGCACATGTTACTGCCAATTAACTACATGTTTCTTACAGTAGTGTTAATGTAAGTGCTGCTGTGCTAGTATGATTAACTGGCACCAACACAAACACAATTTCCCTTTGCTACATCACTTTTCAGCTAAAGAGGGCTTGAAGAAAAAGGCTACGGGAGCACTTTGCAGATCCACTGGTGGAGTGAGAGAAAAATGGACCTCCAATCCCTAGGCAGAAAAGCTGTGAACAAAATACTCTGCTCTTTGCTTCATGAGTAGCTAATAAAAAATTAGCACAGTTGTCCCAGGTGTGAATGACAACCGAGGCCAACACTGTGTATTCCTCAGGTGCAAAATGCCAACTATAGCATGTTAAAGTAAAAATCATGCCCTTTCTAGGAGGTAAGGCGTTTCCTAAGAATCGTGACACAGTGATACAATTTTCTTCCCTAATAATGATTTGTAAGCGTAACATAACTCCACACAGATCAGCCACCTCATTCTGATGATCTTTGATAAGGATGAGGAATACAACTAACACTCTTTCACTTTAAAATAGTTGTATCTTGCTTCTCTCGCTTATCTTTAAAGCAATTTACAATACCCACATAGCAATAAAACATAAACATATGGTATAGAATTCCTTGTAAAATTCACAAGTTTTATAAACATGTTTACATGTCCTTTAATGAGAATGAAGTTAAATGTTTCGGGATGTGCTCAGTTACAGAACCACAAAGAACTGGTCTGTAAACAAGAAGGTTATGCTCTTAACCCATGAAGACAAAGTTACTTCTATAAGTACTGAGATTCTGAGCAGTACCTTTTGCTGATGTCAATGGCCATGTAACTTTTCACTGGGAGGTTTAGTAATAGTTACTCAGAAAGCAAATGCCATAATTTGTAGGCCTGACAGGATTATGGGGAAACTGACATACATGGAGCAAAGAATAAAGACCACTGACATTGTAATATTTTGTGATGAAATAATGAAAACAATCAAGGGGTAGACAACATATACTTTGCAAGAGGAAAAAAGAACAGAAAATAACCCCAAACAAACAAACAAAAAGGATTTGTTGGAACATTTCCCTGAGATATTTCAACAAATCCTTTTTGTTTGGTTGGTTGAAGACCTTTATCACAGTTGAGGCTTCCAATGCCCATTAGATAACCCAAACAATTTGATGAAAATGTGCAACAACTTTTTCTATAACTTCTTGGGAAAGGCGCAAAATATTACTAAATATTCGGACAATTATTTTTCCAACTGTCCCCTACACTATTACTACAGGTGACTTTGACTCTATTAGGCTGTAGTAAAGTCACAATTCACTCCTTAAAAATCCTACTCCATTGCCATGTTACAACAACATTTATTGTTGGAGTTTGCTAATAAGTGCTTATGAGCTGTTTAAATATTTTTATATAGCAACTTAAAGAAGAATGACACTTTCTACCTTCTAGGCCTTTACACATTATCACTCTGCCCTCTCTGGTGTTCACAATGTCTCTTAATTTAGCAGCAAGTTGTTAATATGCAAGCACACACCATACCTCCTTCTAGATTATTTCCCTAAGGAACTTTACACAACAGAGTGTATTCAACTAGTTCATTCCAAATTCTACTCCTAAATATTCTAATTAACAAGGAACAACTGTATATCCATTCTCTCACATTTGCTTAGTGTGACTACTCTCAAATGTTGCCAAATCAACCATGAGGGCACACTTCCATAATGACTTAAAAATATACAGTATATCCTATTGTATATGAATATACAATTAACACAGCAAATCATGAAAACAGTCTATTTTGCATAATGACTGTCTTAAAGAAAATAGTTTGAGCATCATTACCAACTACCAAGCTAGTTGATTATACCTTTGTTTTGGACCAAAATTCTAGATTCTTGAGTAGCTAAATTCAAATGAAATTTTGTCCCAACACATTTTTAGAGACAATTTGAAGTCTAAAGTTAAGAAATTAACGAACAGAAAAATGTACAAACTCCTGAGGTGGGATAACGTAGCAGATTTCCTTTTAAAGTATATCAGAAATCCACAGACTGTTGGAGGCCCTGTATAAGCTGCATTTACTACCCAGAAATATTAATGAAGGTACACAGAGCATGAACACTGGGCAATTAGGTTACATATCAAACTTCATCTATCATTCATTTTCCATTCTAACCAGCAATCTACAAAGGTGACAGAAAGTAGACATATTTTCCCAGATATACCAGATGTATCATATCCCTCAGGGATTCAATGTGCTAATATCACCATTGAAACAATCCTTTAAATTTGGTCTTTTACTTATGACTAAAATTATCCATTACAAAGCTAAAACATGTGTTTAAAGTTCTTTTGTACTCAATACATACAAAGGAAGGGGGTGAGAAAATCAATCCTGATTATATTTTTTAAGAGAAGAAACAGATGCTTCTTCCTGACTAAACTGTCTACCAAGTGTTAGTCAGTGAACTGACCTGCCTGCAGGGCAATCATATCAGTCATAAGCAGCATCAATCATTTCTTTTAAGATATCACTTATTAGTGAATCCAGGATTTAAGGTAGACATGCATTATTAAATTGCATTTATTTTACCATTGTTTAGCGATATAAAATGTTCCAAAAGTGCAAAAGAAGAAAGATTAAGTAGCTGACTAACTGATCAATCAAATTAGGATGAAATGAAACACTTCTTCAGGAGCATTCAGATATGATCCAGCTATAAAAGCTGTGACTTTTCCTTGGGTAGCCCTTGTTGACTAAGTGTTAAAAAAAAAGGCATTTGCCATTATAACAGCATAAAACTAATGCCTCAAAGTGTTATCTGCTCAGGCCTTTTAGCAAATTTGTTAGCACTTTTAGGTATATTACTCCACCTTTCTCTTAGTGTGAACTGGTATCAATTATTTAGCCAGTTTTATTATGTTATTAGAATACCTGCTGATTAATCATAAATCAAAGTGTCATTTTAGAACACTGCCCTTCACTTACACCCTATATTTCTTTTTCAAATACAACTGATGCAAAAGTAAACTACAAAAATAAGAAATAACAAATTCAAATTCTCTTACTCAATCAGAATTCTTTAAAAGATTTTTTAAAATATGCTTCACAGTAGTCAAATGGGGTAATTCTGGATGTGGATGTCACTATAAATAAAATTTCTGCAACTGAACTAAATTCTTATATAAGGGGGGTAGAGCTGATGCCTTCTCCAGCCTTATTTTTACAATCAAACCCTTTAATATATAAACACAACAAAACAGGTATAAGCAAATGTATAACTATTCAACACTGTCATGTTTATTCTTACCCAGTAAAGTTTAAAAAAGAGGAACCTTTTAATACTTAAATTTGTGAGCATTAAACAACTGGTGTGAAAAACAAGATGCATGTAAACTATTTCTACTGCCTCTGCTTCAATGACTAGCTGAGACAACCTGTTATAGGAGGTGTTAATTGGCAATAGGAGTGCAAGTCAGAAGCATGTTCCCTATCGTCCTAACCCAGCAAGGCTAGGTCATTAAAGTGGAAATGAATTCTTTCATGCTGACTTAACTCTTGGAGTGCAGATTTTCAGCTGCTACACCTAGAGACAATTGAGTATACTACTTCTGAGGGTGTAAAAACCTCTTTTAAAAAACCACTGCGCATATACATGTTATATTGCTGCATTTGAAAAATAATAGTTAGAGGATCTAAGAGTTAATATTCCTGAATATGGAGATTTAAAAGTAATGTGATATACATATATTTTAAGAATCCAACAGTCAAGGGGAAGAGAATGGAACAAGAAGTTTTCCTAAGCAAAGACAAATGACAGTAATATTCAGTTGAAAATTTGTGTATAATACCATATGTAGCTGATTTTTAAAAAAAGGAAAAATGACTCTACCAATATCTATGTGTATGTCTTACTTAGGGCAAAACTCATAGAATCCTGGTGGTGTTTAAAAACAATACTGATGTGATGTAATCATTTATATGACAAAAGAGAATAGAGGAAACAGGTTAAAATATTCTTGGTTGTTGTAGGTTTTTCGGGCTCTTTGGCCGTGTTCTGGAGGTTGTTCTTCCTAATGTTTCGCCAGTCTATGTGGCCGGCATCTTCAGAGGACAGGAATCAGAACTCTGTGCTGTGTTCATATTTTGTTTAGCTATGAAGTTTATTCAGTGCAAAGGAACAATCACATCCCTCAACCTAATGTTTCTCACAGGATTGAGAAGGATCTCCATAGGGCCAAGCATCAACTTCCTTTTGTCAGGATTGTGGTTGCTGCACTTGATGCCAGACTTCCAAGATAAGCTTGTAGACC